AAACTAAAAAGCTTCTGCTCAGCAAAAGAAATCGTCAACAAGGTAAAGAGACAACCATCCAAATGGGAAAATATATTTGCAAGCAATGCTTCCGATAAGGGCCTCATATCCAAAATACACAAAAAACTTATATGACTCAATAACAAAAAATACACAAACGATCCAATCAAAAAATAGGAAGAGGACCTGAACAGACTCTTCTTCCTAGAAGACATACAAATGGCCTACAAACATATTACATCGCTAGCTATTAGGGAAATGCAAATCAATACCACAATGAGACACCGTCTCATGCCTGCTAGAATAGCTATAATCAACAGTACGAGTTAATAACAAATGTTGGAGAGGATGCAGAAAAAAAGGAATCCTCATGCACTGCTGATGGGACTACAAATTGGTAGAGCCACTATAGAAAACAGTATGGAGGTTCCTCAAAAAACTAAGAATTGATCTGTCATATGATCCAGCAATCCCTCTACCGAGTATTTACCCTTGTGAGACTTGAAAACCCATATTCAAAAAGATATTTGCACACTGATGTTCATAGCAGCATTATTCATGGTGGCCAGGACATGGAAGCAACCGAAGTGTCCTAGGACAGATGATTGGCTAAAGAAGCCGTGGGACATATATAGAATGGAATATTACTCAGACATAAGAAGAGATGAAATACTGCCATTTGTGACAACATGGATGGACCTCAAGATAATCATGCTAAACAAAATAAACCAGACAGAAAAAGTTGAAAATCACATGATATCACTTATATGTGGGGTATAAACCTAAAAGCAACAAATGAACAGGACAAACAGAAACTCAGGGACATGGACAATGAACTAGTGGTTACCAGAGGAGAGGGTAGGAGGTGGGGGAAGAGAGGAGAGGTAGATGGGATAAAGGGGGTCAAATATAGGAGGTTAAGGGGATGTTGAAGTGGTAAAGGGGATCAAATATATGGTAGCTGAAAGAAACTGGACTTTAGGTGGTAATCACACAATAGAATATATAGATGTCAAATTATAATGTATACCTGAAAATTATAGAATTGTATCAACCAATGTTACCCCAATAAACTTAATAAAAAAAAAGAAAATCCTAGTTCTCAGACACCAGTAATACCTAAATTAGAATGCTACACTTTGCTTTTTCCCATATTATATATATTCTCATCAGTTGTCATAATTACTGAAAATGCTTTAAAATTTCTCTATTTCCCCTTCTTAGTCATATTTATTTGAGTGTATAACCATTACATGTTATTCTTTCTCCTTTATATATCTCCTTTAGTCCTAGTTCTAAAGGTAGCAATATTTTTAATGTTTACAATCACTCTGTCAAATTCTCTTCAGTCATCTTGATGGTCTGAAGCTAGTTCTCTAGAAGATTCCCCAGGGAGAGTTCAGGAGACCAATGCCTCCCCTAGTTTTGACAAGTTAATGAGAATTGTCTCCAGCCTTTGCACTGAAGGCCAGTTTGGCTAGACTTAAAATCCTTGGCTCAACTGTTCTTGACTCATGCATGTTTTTCCGGGATGCTTTCCTTGTAAGGGTGTTATCCTAGTTCCTTATTTTTTTCTTTTTCTTCTAATTTTATATGGAATTTGACATCAGTGCTTTTCTTGTTTTTATAAAACTGATTTTCTTTAAACTTTAGGGGCTATAATTTCACTTAGCTTTCTAGTTCACAGCCATAGAGTTTCACAGAGCTCACTATTTTGGTTGATTTTTGGAGCATTCAACACTATGGCTACTAATCTAGATGGACAAAAAATCAAATCAGTAGTTATCTAGGGCCAAGGCTGAGAGTGGTGGTGGTGACTTTAATGGAGCCCATAGGAATTTTGGGGGGCGATGAAAATGTTCTATATCTGGATTACAGTGGTGACATACGTAGATACACTTGTCAATATTCACTTAATATATAACACATGTGTAAATTATGCCTCAAAAATTATTTAAAAAAAAAAAGACTCTATGGAAGCTTACTTTCTAAAATCTCCTGGCTCTATTCCCCTCCCCTATTTTTAACTGGACCCTTTTTCTCTTTTTATTATCTCTGTCCTACTCAATTTAGATCACATTCACAATATGGGGCTTGTCCTGGAATAAAGCTTTAGCTGACTAATTTTGAGAGTCCACAGGGCTCTAATCCCTTTAGACCACACTGAAAAATATGTATACTCATCCAAACTGGGGTCCTTACCCCTTCTAGCTTCAGCTGCTTTACTTATTGTTGCACAACAAATCGCCCTAAAAATAGCGGCATAACACAAAAATTACCTTACAGTTTCTGTGGATCAGGAATTTGGGAGCGGCTTACCTGGGTAGTCTTGGCTCAAGATCTTTCATGAGGTTTCAGTCAAGCTATTGACCAGGGTTACAGTCTCATCTAAAGGCTCTATTGGGGAGGCTGTCTGAATTCTTACAACATAGCAGCCGGCTTCCCCCAGAGGAAGTGAACTGAGAGAGCCCAAAATGGAAGCTTCAATGTTTTTCTCAGAAGTGGTATACAATTACTTCTGCCATATTCTATTGGTCACACAGAGCAATCTAGTATAAAATATAAGAAGGAACTATGCAAGGTGTGAGTACCAGGAAGCAGGAATTACTGGGAGTCATTTTGAAAGGTGGCCACTAAAGCTGCTATTCTCAAAACAGCTTGCTGAGCCAATTTATTATTTTAGAGTTATTCGGCCCATCATACATCCTGTAGTTACCCTCTCCTTCCTCTTGCACAGCCACTGATGACACACAGGTCTTGTAGTTCTTTATCCCACCAGTTATTTTGGTGTTTGCAGGGAATACCACATCACTGTAAACAGTTGTAGATGTTGCCCATATGTTTTTGGATTGGATATTTTAGTTGCTCTAGATGTTTTTATATGGACATCTAAGTTGATTAAAAACCTATATTGTCGTCATCTACCAAGAATCCATCCATTCTTGTATTTTCAACTTCTGTGATTTCATATTTAAGGAATCTTTCTTGTAAGCAGCATATGGGTTTTGTTTTTGTTTTAATCTAGTCTGTTAATCTTTTGTCTTTCATTATAATATTTAGTTCACATATAGTTAACATAATGGCTAATATACTTGAGTTTCTACCATTTTACTGTTTTCTATTTTATCTACTTTTGTTTTACTTTTCTTAATTGCCTTCTTTTGGATTATTCTAATATTTACTATTCTATACTACTCTATTCATTTGCTAATATTTTATTTTTAATGGTTCTTAGAAATTGCACCATGCAAACCTGACAAATCAAACTATTTTAAGTTTTACTTTTACTACTTCACTGATTATGCCAGAATCTCAAAGCTTCATTTACTAATCTGATTCTTTGTATGGTTGACATTCATTTTATTCAACAAATATTTTAAACCTATTACTGTTTTGAATAGGTTTTTTTTACTTATTTATAAAGTTACCCTTCTTCTGTTCTTAATTCCTTCCTTCCTTCCTTTATTCCATGTTACTATCTGAGATCTCCTTCCCTATGCTTAAAGAACTCCCTTTAAGTATTTCTTTTAGTACACATCTGTTGGTATTGAATTCTCTCAAGTTTGGTTTAATAATGTCTTTATTTTGGCTTCATTTTTTATAAGATATTGTCATTAGAAATGTATTTCTAAGTTGAGAATGTTTTTATCAGTGTTTTCAGATGCCATTCCATTGTCTTCTAGTTTACATTATTTCTGATGAAAACTCATTCTTCAGTCATCTTCCCTTTTTATCTTTAGTTTTCAGCAGCCTTAATGTGATAGGCCACTGTGTCTTTCCTTTACATTTAGCCTGCTTAGGGTTAACTAAGTTTCTTCAATCTAGGCAGATACCTTTTATCAATTTCAGAAAATTCTAGCTACTATATTTTCAAATAGTTTTCATCCTATTCTCTCCTTTTTGGAGAACTATAAATAAATGTAATACATACCTTTTTACCTAGTTCCATATGTCTATGACTATTCTGTGTTGGTTTCCACTACTTTTTCCATGTTTCAGTTTGAATATTTTTTATTGACTTGCCTTTTAGTTCACCAATCCTATCTACTGCTACACCTTACCTGCTATTATGCCAATCTAATGAGGTCTTAGTTTCAGATACTGTATTTTTCAGTCTGAGAATCTCCATATTCTATATATTCCAATTCTCAGTTGAAATTCTCCATCTTTTCATGACAACAAAGACTATACACATTAAAAGATGAGGCTACCAAACTATGACAATAAATTAAATTTTAAATAAACAAGGTCCTAGAAAATTAAATACTATTTCAAGAAGAAATAAAAATCTCAACACTCCTATGATTATCACAGAAATTTAATAAATCTTAAAAAGCCTCCCCACAAGAAAACAGCCCCTGAGGACTTTGCTGAGAAGTGCTACCTACCAAACATTCAAGAAAAAGACTCAAATTCTACCATAAGATAGAAAAATAATATTCCAAATTATTTTATAAAACCAGTTAATTAAAGAAAATTACTGTGAAGGAAAATTTCAGATAGTCTTGCGAGTCCAGCATATAGCTGGTTAGGTAGACACTCGCAGCTATGATATCAACATAGAGCCTGATAGCAACCACGGCTACTGAAATGTTCTTGTATATTAGTTTAATCTATAAGAATCCTGTGAGGTGAGCAAGGATTTCTCTAACGAAACACTCAGTTATTTCCAAGATGCTTTCAAATATATCTCTAATGTTAAAGTAGCTACCGAGATTTAAGGGCCGTTCTTAATAAAAAATTCTCAAGAATTTATTTTAAAAATTATCCTTTGGTATGTAAATATCCATTCAGAGCCCTTTTTTTTTAAAACTAAGGAACATGTGCGTAATACCTAAAAATTATATTCCTTGATTAATTCAGTAATTAAATGGCATCCATGAAGAGACTCTTACCCCAAGAAAATATTCACACGAAGTTCTTTTTTGTTCCTTGAGATTGTCTTCAATGCAGTAATTTCTGCATCAAACCAAAATCCTCTATTACTAGGACTTTCTACATTGTAATTAACCATTACCACATCACCGATATTTAGTTCATTCCATTTCAGAGTGGTTCTAGCTCGTGGTCGAAGATCCTTCACATTTATTTGTACAGTACCACTTTCTGGATATCTGAGGAGAGAGAGAAGAATCACAGAACACTGCTTATGATCACTGCCAAAGACTAAAATTATATGCAACATATGAAAAACTTAATCATATTATTCTTAATGGCACTTATTCATTATTTTAACTGCCAGGATAAATAAATCTTGCTAAAATCTTAGTGAGACATTCTTTCTAGCTTGGGTGGGAGGAGTAGGGATGGATAAAAAAAAAAAAAGAAATACACAGTTCTTCTGCCTCATTTTCTTAACCCAAGTTTAAGAATTACTTTTTAAAAATTATTTTTATTTTTTGATTAGCTGAAATTCAATAGCATTTTATATTAGTTTCAGGTATATAACATAGTGGTTAGACATTTATATAATTTATGAAGTGATCCTCCAATAAGTCTGGTACCCACATGGCACCATCCAGTTATAACAATATTAAGAATTACTTTAATAGGAATAGATTCTAAGCTCTTCCTGAATTTGGAACCAGTTCCAGTTCTGCCATTTGCTTTATGCACAGTAAGAACATGAATCCAGTACATTTTAATAGCTTCCATTTTTCCAGGAAGAAAAAGTCAAAATCTAGTTCTTATATGTAGCCAGCTCCCTAGTAATGGCAAAAAAAATCCAGAATTTATGCATCAGAAAATAGAACCAGTGAAAGAATTCTAGCAGAATCTTAACTTTTTGTTTCTAAAGGTAAGTTTAAAGTAAACTTAAACCTGACCTGAACTTAAAGCTTTAGAAAGTTACTCAAATTTAGGTTTAATTTCTGGTATCAACAGACCAAAGACAGAAATATAACAGTCCATGATGGTTTCCATAAAATTAAAACCTGTCATCTTTATGTATTGCTTGGCAACAGAGGGACAAATAAATGAATATTTGGTTTGTGCTTTTGGAAAGCTCAATCTTTTGGGGCAGGCTAAACTACTATAGCAGTGGTTCTCAGAGTGTGGTTGCCAGACCAGTAGCATCAGCATCATCTGGAAACATGTTAGAAATGCAAACTCTTAGACTCAACTTTGGATCTACTGAGTCAGAAAATCTGGGAATGAGGCCCAGTAATCTATTTTCACAAATCCACTCAGAAATTCTAAAGCACGCTCAAGTTTGATAACCAACTGTGCTATAGAAACACAATAATTAAATATCATACCCTAGTGTGACAGCATTAATAAGGTAGAAACTAAAGGAAGAGATCATTAATCCTTAACCAACTGAGTGGTCTGCTCAAAATGTAAATAAGCCTGAAGTTGGAAGCAGCTCTAGCAGCTAGCCTTGGTTCTTCTGAATCAAACAAGTATTATGCAAACCTAGGACTCTCACAGTATATTTAATTCATTTAGAAAGGATATTCATCCTAGGCGGGAACTTTAATTACCCAATTTAATCAAGTCACTTCAATTTTTAGTTAGCTGGGAAAAAAATATCAGAACAAGCAAGGGGCCCATTTTACCCACTCAGTGCATTAATTACCTTGTACCACAAGCCTTCCAATAACCACAGAACATTTGCTCAGACAATAAGAGGTGAGGGGGCAGTTTTAATACTAAAAAATAAAAAGTCATTCTGTTTTCACATAGCTTTTACGTAGAAAAGAGAAGATACTTAATATTGAATCAATGATAAGCTTTGGAACTCATTCTATGTCTAGGTTTCATGAAGATTATCAAGACATACTCTCTTCAACAAAAGACCTAATATTGACAGTCTAAATGTCCCTGCCACCCTGAATCTTCTCTCCTAAACAAAAACATTTTAAATGAATTTCAACTTATATGACGAGGTTTTAAATTTATCATCATCCTGGTGTCTTCGCTCAAAATATATTCTATTTTCAGTCTGCCTGGGTTTAAATTCTCATTTTAGCTTCTTGCTGCTGTGTACCCTTGGGAAAGTTACTAAATCTCTCTGTGACTATCTCTCATGTGTAAAATGTAACTAATGCTAACTAACTGTATCCTATATGGTATTTTGAGATAAAAATGAGAAGACTCATAAAGTGCTTAAAACAGTATATAATGGGGTAAGACAATGTCAGTTGTTAGTATTTTGTCATTATCACAGAAATAATACTAAAGAAACCGACAAGTACCAAGTCACATCTATGGTTCTACTCTTCTCACTCACATTTCAATTCCATTTTTAATGGTCAAACCTAAATTTTGAGGTCTCTAGCCCAACACTTGGTGTTTTTACACTCAAACTGTTTCACACTGGTTTGGTCAGAAAAACAACTAACATTTTCCTAACCTATCAAATGAAGAAGTTAATATAGATCTTTTAGGGCTCTCCTAATTCTAAAGTTGTAAATGTGTCCTGACTCATATTCTTAAGGCCACACAGGATAAAAAACTATTCTTTTACATGAGATTCTTTCCTCAGCTGTAATGTGAAAATTATATTTTGACATCATGCATTTCTATATATTTAATACAGTAAAAAAGCATATTTCAATGGCAAAAAATTCATTTGCCTAAGTTTGTCAAAATTAGATACCAAGAATGGAAATATTTTGAACAGAGTAGAGAACTTGAACTAAGTATTAAAATTATATATAAAGTACTGTTTATTGAAGATAAGGCAAAATAAATCCTTCCATACATAAGAGCATGGGAATTTAAGCTATGTTTGCTCTGGAACTAAATTTGTACAATTTCAGGACAGAATCATATTGTAAAGTATATGTAAATATACTCTCTATATAAATAGTAAGTCTGTAAAAATAAGTCATGAAAATGAAGCATATTTTTCTAATTCTAGCCAAAGAGATGTTAAATCAATTGTTATGTAAAAAAAACATGGAAGGAGCACATAAACTACTCAGCAAGGTCAAGAACAGGCCAAGTGCTCAAATATTACAATTATTCTTTTCCTGGGTATCTTCATTTACACATCTTTTTTTTTTTTTTTTTTTAATTTAAATACATATTTTTTACGCCTACAGCACCTGGTATTCCAAGGTGGTCTCCCACCCAAGTACTAACCAGGCCTGACCCTGCTTAGCTTCTGAGATCAGACAAGATTGGGCATGATCAGGGTGGCATGGCTGTAGACTCATCTACACATATCTTAATACCACAGAGTGATGACTCAAACGCTCCACTTTAACCCAAAATTTTCTCTTCAGATTTGTATATCCAACTATATTTCTAATGCAGACGTCTCAGAAGCACCTGAAATTCAAGGTGTCCATGATGGAATTCCCCCAACCCATAATCTACTGATGCTATGCCTTTAACACTTCTTTAATGTAACTGTACCTCCTTAGTGAAGACATAAATTTCTCCAATTCTACTATTAAGGCCCAACACATCTGTCGGTCTTTAGGATCACACCTTACAGTCCATAGTACACTTTTGCCAAAGATTCTAAAGCACAGATCTACTTAAAATATTTTGTGAAGTTTGATAACAATATGTTCACAGACTATGGGAAAACAGGTATTCTCATATAATATTGATGGGACTATAAAGTAAATTGGTACTGTCCCCACCTTATAGAGGGGAATTTGGAAATAGTCAGCAACATTGCCTACATATTTATCTTTGAATTCAGGAATTTCACTGATAGGAATCCATCCCAAACATAAATAAAAATCCCCATGAAAAGACACATATACAAGGCTATTTATATAGCTACACTTTCTGTAATAGGACTAGAAATAATCAAACATCCACAGTAGAAAACCACTTAAAACATATGGTACAATTATACAATGAAGTATTATGCTCCTATAAAAAGGAATATGATATCTGCTATGGAGTGATATATATGGAGAGGTGTATTAACTCAAGAAAAGCAAGACGCAAGTGTTTCAAAGTGCTATTTTTCACCTAATGAGTATGTGTGGAAATACAAATATATTCACACACACTTCACACACATATGTACAAATATATATGTGATTATATATAATACACACTTATGTTTTGAAACAGGATAATCCAAAGTAAAGTTACTATTAAGAAACAGGAGGAGGAACCTGGATGGACACACTATTTTTCTGAATGTACCTTGTTTTGGAGATTTACCTATAGAACCATGTAATGTTTAATGATTACAAAACAAAATGTGATTATAATTAACAAAATGTAAGAAATCCCTAAAAATCAAAAGCAAAATGAAACAAAAGTACACAATTGGTGGCTTAACTACATAGAGAACTATTACAAGTGACCTGAAAATACACTAAATTAACTGTATGCCCTTAATGGAGTTATTTCCTAAGAACAAAGCAAAAATAAAAACAAAAAAACTTTTCCGTAATCATATTGTTTGCAATATTAGTACTGCTCATCTGAAACTACCATGAGGAGGATAAAGAAAAATCAATGGTGTTATTAATAGGAACCATGATTTTCAAGGTAAAAAAAAAAAATAGGTTAAAGGATTAAATTATAACCCTTTAACTCCAAATTGAAAATGTCAATATAAACCTATGATATATTTAAGTATTTCCTAGCTCTGTCCAATGAGAAGACCTAGAAACATGATCAAACAAGTATCAATGAGCAGTCCAGACTATATGGTCTACATAAATCTCTAAAAAGAACTAGGATTCCTTGAAGAAATGGCTGAATCCAGGCTTGGGCAGGAACTAGAAAAACAGCTTGGGACATCCTGTTGTACCTGAATGCAAAGAAGCCCTCAAAAACTATGCTGTCAGGTTCAACTTGAAGGAGCTTTCACAGGCCAGAAATGGGACAATTTGGGCACTAAATGGAACTGAGGTAGATTAAAACAAGTGTTCAAATCCATTAGTTCATTATACTTAAAAGCAAAAATCTCACTGGCTAACTTCTGGAGGATGCTAGGGAACTTATTCCAAACACTGAAAAAGTTCGAAGGAAAGATTGAATGAGGTATCACCATTTTTGCAGTACTCAATGAAACAAGGGATCTAGGTGAAGATTAATAGCTGCTAAAACCATTAAAAGCTGGTAGCAAATTTCACAACAGATGAATCAGGCTAACAATACCCAAAATCTTACCACAAAAGAGCAGCATGTT